AAAAAAAAAAAAACCTCACACACAAACAGTATGCTGAGTTATTTCATGTCAATTTACTCTTCCAATGCTGTCCATCATATGAAAGTTTTTTGAACATCTTGTCTCACCTAGCACTCCTTAATGGCAAGTACTGACTTACTGACTTAACAGCTTCGCCTGCCTCACACTGTAGAGAACATTTTGCATTGCTCACCTGCATGAGAGTTTATTGCAGGATGCTAGACTTCCATTGTAAATATTTTTCTTCCAGAGAAAAAAGACTTCCAAAACTATTCAAGTTGTGGAAGTCATTTAGAATCAAATTGAAGGATAACTTTCTGGAACTTAGGAAAAAAAAATAATAGCAGATTGATCTCTACAACATGAGCAGAATTATCAAGCTCTCAGAGTACGAAACTGTTTTTGATCCCATGTAGCATAAACTGCTCCCTCAACTTGGATCAGTCTTCAAGGTTTATTTAAATCTAGCAGTGAGTATTTATAGATGTTAGCCTTTTCCTAGAGTGACATTTGTTAAGTTCCTGTGTTCCTGTTTGAGCCTTGTTACTAAAGCTTTGCTTAACCTTTCCATTTTGTTCATAGTCTAATAGGTTGTGCTTTTTAACAAATACACACTAAAGCATTATAAGTGTTCTAAATGTGACAATTTTGTATTTCTGTAAGAGGAACAAAACATTAGCAGGGGGGCAGGGGGGGGAAACACATTTTGTTTAGGTGTTTAATTCCATTATGATATAGAGCATAAAGCTTAAATTTCTGAAAGGAGTTTAATGTGTTAGATTTATCTAGGAAAAGTCAGCATGATGAGTGACTGCCTAGGAGTTCATTTATTCCAGCATCTTCAATTTCACTTAAGATTTTTTTTCCCTGAGTGATTTTCAAAAACATATCTATTTAAATAATGGTGACTAATTTAAATAGGCTTCAAACCATCTAGCGACATGCCTTCTGCAAAATAGTTTGGCCTCAGTTTGGTTTTATTCTTTAACACAAAATACCCAGGCCTCATCTAAAAAGACAAGTACAGTCTAGGACCCTGACCAAAGTGAAGGCCTTTTTGTAGGCATGCTGTCAAAACCTAATTCTACAAAATACTTGGAAACTTGAATTTGGACCTAGCTTGGGCAGAAACCCATGAACTTTTGACTGCTGGTCACAGGTCGGTGCTTCCTTTTGTGAAGAAATGGGTCATTAGTTGCCAATGTTGCTTTTCTAGTATTTACTGTAGTTACCACATAGAAGCAATTAAGTAAACAGGAAGGGAGGTGGAGAGTTTGAGAGCTGCTGCAACAGACCACATGTTCAGCTATTCTGAAGCATTCAAGTAGCAGGAATATCTAAGAGAGAAGTGGACTATTTAGCTAACTTTAAACACTACTCATTACATTGGATATTCTGCTTCATGAGTTGCTCTAGTCTGAATAAAAAGATAAACAAAAGCAGGCATTGAATAATGGAAAAATATAACTTCTTACCATATGGACAAACATTTTTGCTTTGTCATAATTAAGAATTTCTCACCTTTCAGCACAAATAGGAAAATATCTAGCTATGGTAGGAAGGGCCTGTCCCATAATTGATCCAAATTCTCCAACAGAAAGCAGAGGTGAAAACCACAAATAAAACTAAAATCTTAATAGCTATTTTTTAATAAAAATTGTTCAAAATAGTTCATGCTGGCTTAGGAAGTGTATCATTTTAGATAGCTACAAAAGCTTCTTAAACAGTACTAAGAAGTGCCATAAAAATTTCTCTGAAAAAAAAAAATTCTCTTAAATTGGGTCACTAATGCTAAAACAAGTGAGTACTGTTTTCTTTGAGTGGATATTGCATCTTGTTATTGACAGTACCTTTAGTGGTGTCAGTTTATACTAACCTAGACATCTGCACAAATTTGCACCCTATGCTATCGGAAAAGGTATAGATCCATAATTTGTGTGAATATAAATGTGTTCAAGAATTTCTTTTTGAAGAACAAATGCAGGTAGAACAACAGAATTTTGTGAAAATAACTTATCCCTTTGAAACTTGTACCAAAGGGTTTTTTTTTTTCCCCTCCCCTTTTTCTCTGTCCTTTAATAGAGTCATGTTTGTTGTTCTGCTTGATTTGTATATCAAGGGTCAGATAATATTTCCACACATAATTTTTTCTTTTTTTTTAAACTTACGCAGGTCGGAGATATTGTGAAGGTTACAAGGATGAACATAAATGGTCAGTGGGAAGGAGAAGTCAACGGTCGAAAAGGGCTGTTCCCGTTCACACACGTCAAAATAATCGACCCTCAAAACCCGGATGAGAATGAATGATTCCCTTTGCCTGGTTCACGCTGCTGCTTCATTTTCCTGGCTATCGTTAGCGTTGTTTGAGGTGGGATGATGACTTAATGGCACATTGCTAGCATTGACCATTTTCCAGCTTGCTGCAGTTTGACAGTTCTTTTAATATACATTTGAAATACGTTACAACTGAAGTCACTGCCTGACCCTCATACCATAGTTGCATCATCCAGATGATAATTTCACTTTTAGAACTATATCAGGCCTTAAGCTGGAGAAGACTGAACCCTACAGATATATAGGAGACAAGTATGGGGGGGGAAAAAAAGAAACCCTTTCCTGTTGAGACTTCCATGGACTTGTTTTGGCCTACTTGGTAAGAAGAGCCCTAATCCTAGATCAAACATAGAACTTGTGCATTACTGTCCAACAAAAAGCAACAACAAAAATGCAATTTAAGGACTGAAGAAGACTTAGTTTTAAGAGAAACTGTCCTAAGGTAGTATATTCAAGATAATGGTTTCTTTAAAGGACAATAATCAAAGCTTATGTATGCTAAGCAGTTGTATTAGAAGCTGCTCCTTTGTGATAACTCTCAAGCTTGTTGTTGACCTTCCTGAAACAGTGTGTGTTAAATGCAAATAACCATTGATTGAGCTGCATTGAAGCTGAGGCAATTATTTATAAAGAAGCTTAGGAGTGGCCGATACGCGTAACCTGTTTTGGATATACTTAAAGCATTTCTGTTGACTTTGCAAGCACTAACTGTATAAAATGAGCTTTAAAGGGAAACACTTAGGCTTAGTCTACTCACAGCTCTTCTGCAATGCTGAAGCATAGTTTTACTAAACTAGAACTGCTCATCACTAAGCTGTTGCTCAGTAGGCAGATTGATCAGATTGCCATAGTTTGGAAGAGTGGGAAAGGAGTGCTACAGAAGTATTTTAAGTGCTGATAAAACCCTTCTATTTAAACAAATAGCTTCTTATACCCGTTCCTTCACAGATTCCCACTTCTCTCTAAATTTTCCTAGGGATGCCAACCCTAGCTTGCTAAAAGCTGATTTTCAAACACAGTACCTTTTTTTTCCAGGGTGTCTCCATATCTCCTCGCTCCCTCTCCAAATCTACTTGCTTCTCTTCTTTGCTTGCACCACAAACTCCTCATATGTCCCCAATTGTTTTCCCCCTCCTAAGTGCTTTGGTTCTGACTTTCTATCAGCTCCAGTTCCCTCCCACTCCCAGCATCCCCCACAAAGTGGTTAATTGGAATCAGCTGCTGGGGTTCCCCAGGTGGCAAATTTAGGCTCGGAAGGGAGGAGGCCACAAAGGTCTCTATGACCAATATAGGGGTTTCCCCCCCTTTTTCTGTAGCTAATGTGTGCTGCTGTAATTTCATTTACAGTAGGGATTTATATGACCACAGTTGCCTGAGTCCAGTTAGAATCATGTGGCTTCACTCCTTAACCTGCAAATGGGACAGGAAAGCTTAGATACAGGGGCATTTTTTGCCTTCTTCTTTAAATGTGTTTTCTAGGTGAACTGGAATGCTCTTTTAAAAAAGTAATTGAACACTGAATTAACAGAATACATGTATAAACAAAGACTGTAGTTGCAAAACCTCCCTTTTCAGACATCCTGGTTAAAGAAAAACGTGTTGTAGAAGCTGGCAGTAAAGCAGCTGCCCTGATGCATTCATTTGTCAACTTTTGAAGGCAGCCAATTATAGCAAAATTAGAAAGTACAGATACCTGCAGAATTTTACTATTTGTTATATCAAATTATATAAAATGTATCATTTTATGTTGCTGCATGTATTCTTGTTGATTTAGGTCTCTTGATCCTAATAAAAGCAAGTTGTTCTTAGCTTCATATTGAAGTGCCGTGAGGTTCTTAAATGGGAGGCACTGAAGGAATGCAAAAATGGCATTTACAAGAGGCGTTATAAAAATCTGTTTTAAATAAAAGTTCCTGATTTCACCTGTTAGCTCGTTAGTGTTGATCTGACAGTCTAGGAGTTACTGTAGAGCATTTCACTGCCAAATTAACTGTGAAGTAGAGTAGCATTGACTGAAGTCAATGAAGTTTGGTGCTGTAGGAATAATTCTTGACAATAGGCATTGACAGTGTGTCTTGCAATGAAAAGCTATGCAGCCATCATCTTAACTGAAGAAAATCATTCTTACTCCATGCCCCAACTCCAGCTATGAGTTTACTACATAGATTGTACTACTGAAAGTCATCTTGTGAATACAGAACCTGCACTAAGCTGAGTCTACTGCAGAGAAATCTTATTTCAGACCTGACCTAATTATAGGTATCTGTCTTCAGGAGCCTGGCTGTGGAATTCTTCCTTTGCATAGTAAAAGTCCGTAAATACTGTGAGATTTGACATCTTTTGAACACAGCTTTTTAACTTGGAATATTTTTGACTAGAATGAACATCTTGATGCTTCCCCTCCTTGCACAGGGTGTACATTTTGAACATAAGCATTGCTTCTCACTTAATTAATGCTCTGATGCTGCAGAAAAGCGAAACGTTTTCCTTCAAAACTATGCAAAATTTGTGTGTAGCGGCAGCTGATGCAAAGATAAGAATTCTTTAATTTCTGTGAACCTGGTTTTGGGCCACTGATGAGGAGTTTTCTCTGGGTAGCAGAGATTTGGTTCGCCCGTGTTACGTGTGGTCTAAATGTAGCATTCTGAACAGGCTACGCTGACTGCAAACGTGCATCAAAAATGTCCTGGATATTTTACTATAAGACAAGTATTTTCGTATAACGGCTGCATCTGATCAGTCTGCGTTTCTCCTTGAAGGACTCCCTGGTTTCTCAATCACGTGTTGTTTGCTTACATCTGTGCTGTCTGTTACTTTATGAAGCCCTCTGCATCTGAGCGCTAACCCCGCGCTAAGAGCTCCTTGGGAGCACAAGGCAGAGCCGTCAGGACGGCCTCAGTCCGGGCACCGCTCACGTTGCTGGTGCGTTGGAGCCGGCGGCCGGTTTGGTTCCCCGCTGCCACGGGAGTTTGTGCCCTGAACGGCCTGTCCTGCGACTGCCTCCTCGTGTGTACATGTGTAAATAGACATTGAAGCCTCTGACCAGTCTGAAGGTTTAAATGAAAACTGTTTTAATCAGTGTCCAGCACTGGATAAGCGCTAATTTAATTCATGATTGTTTACAAATTGGGAAAGAATAAACAAAAGGGAATATCCTGTTTGGGTTGGGGCTCTGAAGAGCCTGAGCATTATTTTTGTAAAGGGAAAAACAGCATTCTTTGTGCCATTTCATGTGCCTGTAATGTAATTTTTTATATTGTATTAACATCCTGGGAATGAGTGGGCTGCCTTTGTTTTCTAATCAAGTTTTCAAGCATTTTCCTCAATACCTGCATTTGAAAGTGAGACTTGCCTAAAAGACTGCCTTTTGGGACCAGTGGAAGCATTCTCTTCTAGTTGTCATTTTCTGTTTACTAGTGTTAAATGAAAATGTGTTTGGGGACAAGGAAACGATTATTGCAGTGGGAAAGGTGGCCTTGTATTTGAGACAGTCTTCACTGTGTAAACTTCAAAACACAATATGTAATTTAAAGACCATGAACTTCAGGCAATAATATTAAGTGTAAGCTTTTAAAGTTTATTTTGGGGATCATAGCTTGTTTTATTTTTTGTGCTATAAAATTAACAGTATTAAATGAATTATATTCTTAGAATATATGGAGTGTCTTTTCTTAAGATTAGTGCCTTTTAATTTCTTACTCCACTTATTTCATAGAACTGGTCCCAACATCAAGCCACTGTTTCGTTTTGTTTTTTTTTTTTCCAGTGCCCTGTTTGTACAGTCTAAATAAAACTTGCATCAACTTACAGTATTACTTGTTGTCTTTGCTCTTAAAACCTTGCTAACATTAGCAGTGTTCATGTTCTCTTAGTGGCCTGCTCTGCTGGTAGAGGAAGCGGCTACCTGGGGTTTTCCAGAATCCCTGCGAGAGTCGGGCAGGAGAAACCAGCGTTTGCAGAGCGGCCCCAGCCCTTCACCCGACCCTGCGCGAGACCCGCGGGTCTGAGCCGTGAGCTGCAGTTTTGTTGGAGTCAATAAGGCCTCTCCTGCACACAGAGGAGGTGGCGTTTTAGCCACTGCTGAGGCTGTTACAAGGATCAGCTGCAGGAGCTGGAAAACACGGGCTGCTTTTTCCTTCTGGGCAGTCAGTTTAGATCAAGAATAGCAGTAGCTAGAACTTTGAGTTTACTTTAGTTATGGGTATTTTTGGTGGTGTTTTTTGGTATCGTTCAGGTAAAGCTGTTAACAGTACATTGGAACTTGAGAAGATCTTATGTAGGAGGAAGACTTAAGATGACACCAGACACGTTAATCGCTGCAAGTGAGAAGCATAAAAGACTTGCATTGTTTTCCCAGCCTCTCTTTGGGGGTACAATGCACTCCAGTGTTTGTCTTCTCTGATGCATACATTTCTATAATATTTTTAATAAAACTTTATAGCCAACCGTACATAGTGTCTTATGGACAAGTATTCATATTTGATGTGTTACATTTCCTCAGCAAAAACCATGACATTTCAGGTCCACAAGCAAGTACAGCTCAAGTGCACCTGGTAGAACCCTTGTGTCAGGTTATTTCATGCGCCTTGAACTTGCAGAAGATGGGAGCATGAGCCCAGCAGCTTCTCCCAACATCCCGCAGCAAGCGGCCTCCCCTGCTAAGAGTGTTTCCTGCACCCCAAATTACAGCTGCGGGTGCATCCGCAGCGTCGCTCCTGTTGCATCCCACACCAGTGACCGGAGGCACCGCGCAACCTCCCTAGTGAAATGACAACAGCAGCCGTCGCCACCGGAACGCAGCGGCCTGGCCTCGCTTTCGGCCGCTTCCAGACTTCCTCCGAGACGCAGCGAGGCCTCCGCGTACATTTGCATTAGGCAACGGGAGAAGAAGCACTTTCATAAGCAGAGAGTTTGGGGAAGTCCATCATAGCTGTGCTCTGTGCAGCAGCGTTGCCCCTTGTTGCTGCCTCAAAACGCATCAGCTGTTGGTAACCTGCGCCCCTAGGAGTGTGTGGTGCCTCAAAAACTCCTACATTTCCCCATATCCTGCTGGAAAGGCTCCAGCAGGCCGCAGCAGCGAGGACTGGGATGTGTCTCAGCCCGGGAGGCGCTTCCTGCTGCCCCTGCATGGACCCGCGCGCCGCCTCCCCTGCTGCCCTGCCGCGGGGTGGGCCGGGCGCCG